TCCGCACCAAGGCCAATCACCAAACGCCTGATCTACAGCAAACTCTTGACCAGGATTTAATACAATGGCGGCACCACAACGGCTCAGAAATACGATGAAGACGACTGGGTAGCCATGTACACGACCTGTATACCCAGCGCGATCGCAAGTGCATCTGCGAGAATTGCCAGCGTACAATATGCTGCGTGGCCGTGGTTTGCTGATCATGGCATAGTAGACGCTCGCAGTCTCTAAGGCCAGACGATGCCATACTTGAATACAGACCCCAAGAAACTGGCCTCGTTTAAAAAGAACCTGTGCTCTTATCAGGAAGTCGACCGGCTGATAGGGAATGAAGTACAGCGTAAACCAGACGTTTGGTGATGTCGGTACTTTTAGAAATGGAAAATTCATATCAACAGGAAGCAGCGGAGACGTAGATAGCAGCCATGCCCAGTTGCAAAACGGTCAGACTTGGGATTTTCATACCAGCCCAGTTAGTTTCTGAGTTGAATGCCCTACCAGTTGACAGGGACCTCATGTTCCAGTTGCATGAGATTGGTGTTCTTCCATCTGGCCAGTTTGCAGCAAAGGATTTGGGTGCGTGTTTTGCCTTAGGGTCGTGATCGATGGAGGGGCGATGTGTTGTCCTATAAGGTAGCCAGGTGGCAGAACTGAAATGCACATTGCATCTGTTTCATTCCCTCTGAAATTAATCCGTAACCGCGAGTAATTCGGTCTATTTGCAATTTACAGGCTCTGACTAAAATTTTACCTAAATTTTTGGGCATTAGTTCATCAGCCATAACGGACTAACAGCATTATTTTCATAATTTGCTAACATACAACCAATAGTACTTTGCTGGGTTGTGCCATGCACCGTACACGTGCTCCGTCGTAGCCGTGTCATGCAGAGACAGAATATCAGCAAAACGCGTGTCTGGATTTTCAGCTAGTATGTCAGGTATGGCATACCGTACAACCTATGAAATAAAACGCCTCTCCCCTCACTGAAATCCCTGCTTGTTACTTGTTTCCGTTGAGTAGGCATCTGACTCTTCCAACGACAATGTACAGGCAACTGGATTTAGCCCCTCTACGCGGGTTGCGCGCGAGCCGGCTGGCACATGGTCATGTTTTGCTCCGTGCTGACAGTCAATCCGAAATTCGAACGACCAAAGTCGACGATGACTACGCCCTGCCAGCGCACAGTATGCTGCGTGGCCATGCTTTGCTGATCATGGCATAGTAGAAGCTCACAGTCTCTAGGGCCAGACGGTGCCTTACTTAAATTCGGAACCCATGAAACGGGCCTCGTTTAAAAAGAACCCGTGCTCTGATCAGAAGGTCGATCAGCTGATAGGGAAAGAAGTGCAGCGTAAACCAGACGTTTGATGAAGTTCTTACTTTTAATAATGGAAAATGTATACCAACAGGAAGCAGGGAAGACCGGGGTCGCAGCCATACTTCAGCAAGAAAACGGTACGACCGGAGAGTTCAACCCGGGTCCAGTTGGTCCCTCAGTTGAATGCCTTACCAGTTGACAGGCACCTCACGCTCAAGTAGCATGAGATTGGTGTTCGCTCATCTGGCCACTATGCGGCAGATGATATGAGTACGTTTTTGCCTTGGGGCTCTTATCTGCGGAAGGACGGTGTTTTGCATTACAAGCTAGCTAGGCGGCAGAAATGAACTGGAACACTACAGTTTTTCATTTCCTCAGCACTTAATCTCTAACTGGGAGTAAGTCAGTCTGCTTGCGTCTTATAAACTTAGACTAATATATTATATGAATATTTGGGTCGAAGTTCATCAGCCATAACGGAATAATCGCATAATCCCCATAAACTGCCAACATGCAACGAACAGTATTTTGATGAGTTGCACGATATACCATTCTTGAAAGTGCAGGTACTAGTTGGAAGCCCATACACGTGTTCGGCCACAGCTGTGTCACGCAGCGGCGGAATATCGGCGAAATACGCGTTTGAGCGTTTAGTTAGTATGTCAGGTATGTTATATCGTACAACCTATGAAATAAAACGCCTCTCCCCTCGTTGAAATCCCTGCATGTCGCTTACTTACCTCCGTTGAGTAAGCGTCTGAATCTGGCTACTGACCTAGGAAATGCTTTCAACAGTATGTCCACCAAATCTAACTCGATAACGATGCAGTTGAAAGTAGGCTCATCTTACTTACTATATTGATGGCGGCCTACGTCATAAGGACACAGAGCAAGAAAACGTGGTGACTTTGTTCGACAGCTTAATGGAGATTGGTGTGTTACAAAATGAAATTATACTGATGCATGGTATGGGGAGTGCGCACCGAGCGCGTTACGGAACGTACTCGTCGCGTTGTGCCTTACGGGCTCTCTCTCGAGCCCAACCAACAGCCGCAGAGCGGTGCATGATATAGACAGTACCCCGATCGGACGCGATTCCTGCTGAGGTCTAAAATCACGGAGATCCCCAACTCATGGATCACCTGACTGCGCTCTTCCAGGAGATGTGGCGTCAAGGTGAAGTCCCTCAAGATTTCATAGACGCAAACATCGTTAACCTATACACGCAAAAAGGAAACCGCCAACTCTGCGACAACCACCGCGACATCTCTCTGCTGAACATCGCCGGAAAGATTTTCGCTCGCATCCTGCTCAACCGCCTGAACAATCATCTAGAACAGGGTTTTCAACTGGAAAGACAGTGTGGCTTCCGCCATCATCGCGGAACCGCGGATACGATCTTCGCCGCACGTCAACTTCGGGAGAAGTGCCAGGAGATGCGGACCCACCTGTACCCTACCTTCGTGGACCTGACGAAAACCTTCGACACGGTGAATCATGAAGGGCTGTGAAAAATCATGCAGAAATCCGGCTGTCCGGAGCGATTCATCCAGATGGTGCATCAGCTGCACGACGGTATGATGGCGCGAGTCACGGACAACGGAGCTGTCTCAGAGGCATTCGCAGTGACTAACGTAGTGAAGCAGGGATGCGTGCTGGCGCCTACCCTCTTCAGTCTTATGTTCTCTGCCATGCTGATGGACGCCTATCGTGCTGAACGCCTCGGGATCTGCCTCGCCTACAGGACGGACGGTCACCTTCTCACTCAACGGCGGATGCACATCCAGTCGCGCGTATACACAACCACCGTTCACGAACTTCTCTTCGCCGACAACTACGCCCTGAACACCACCTCGGAAGAGGACATGCAACTGAGCATGGACCTCTTCTTCGTCGCCTGCGAGAACTTCGGCCTGGCCATCAACACGCAGAAGACGGTGGTCATGCATTAACCGCCACCCAACACAATGGTGTTACCAACAAAGACAAGGGGGACCGGAACATCAATTTCTCGCTTAATAGCCGTCATCAGCTAGCCAATACCCAAGCCCGATGTATGCAACCGCCGTGGCTCGTACCCGCAGCCTGTTGGTCATAAGTCCAAGTCCCTAACCACTGAGTTACGGGCTGGTTGTCCCGTCGGTTGCGATCGACCATGGTAACATCGGTCGAGCGGCTCGCCATAAGTAGTCATGCCAGTTTTCCTCGTCTTTTTGGTAATGTTGCTTTTTAATTTGCTTAGAAATCAACTGCGAAGCTGGGCTAGATCAGTATATTTAGGGTTTATAGGCTTAGACATAAGTTTTTATCAAGTGAATACTTTCAGAAATTACTCAGTACAGGACTTGGAGTTAAATCTCCGGAACATGACTTTTTAGGGTCAGAACCGGAATTTCAATGAACATCCGAGTCGAAGACCATCAACTACTGTGGAATAACCACGTAATGCCCATTCTACAAATAAGTAGTACTACGAGTAGTATGAATAAGTTTTCATTTACGAATATTTGGACCGAATGCCATCCGTCACAGCTGATAACCGCGTAGTATTCATTAACTGCCGACAGGCAGCTAGTAGTATACTTTTGGGTAAGGTGATTCCATACTAACAGTACAATTACTAGCCAAAAGCTCATGTACGCGTGTTTCGCCGATATTCTGCCGCTGTATGACACAGTGGTGAGGGGTTCGACTCGTCAATGGGGCCCCATAAACTTAGGTCCGGGCCTATAGACCTTAAATATACTGACCTACTTCAAGTTCGCAGTTAATTTCTAAGAAAATTAATAAGCAACGATTTCTAAATTGCAATATCAACCAGAAAGCATACAGGGAATGCTAAGGAACCCACTGACGAGCCGAACCCCTCGTAGCTGCGTCATGCAGCGGCAGAATATCGGCGAAACCCGCATGTATGGGCTTTTAGTTAGTACCTGTGCTGTTAGTATGGTATCAACTTACACCAAAGTACTGATATTATACCTATATTACGCGCCGCTACGCGGCTGCTGTTAGGGTTCGAGAGAAATTTCCGAGGAACAACGGGACGACCGAGTTTCGTAACGCGATCAGTGCGTCTCCTCTACGATCGCTAATTTATACGATCACAACCGACAGGACAACGAGTCCATGACTCTATTATTATGGAGTAGGATTTCTAACGAATAGGTCGAGAATCCGAACCTGGAGTCCATACTTCAGGGTTGAGTAGGGATAGTTGATGACGGCTAACAAGCCGGAATTTAGGCACTCCAGTCTCCGTTGTCGGTAATGTTATATTATTGCATAATTCTACGGCTCCAACGGCGGCCGCCGATTCAAAACCGTGGATAATGTTACTTATCTCGGAAGCGCACTTCCCAACCGAGCAAGAATCGACGATGAGGTTGCCCACCGGATCTTCAAAGCTAGCCAAGACTTCGGTCGGCTGCGGATTCCATGTGGGATCACCACGGCCTCCAACCTGAAGATGTACAAGGCCGCCGTCATGACGACTCTTCCCCACGGAATAAAGGCTTGGACCGTCTACTCCAACCATGCCAAGAAACTTAACCACTTCCATCTCAGCTGCCTTCACAGAATACTAAAGCTGAGCTGGCAAGACAGGATCCTGGAACAGACTGGCATTCACGCTAGGCTGAGGCGAAAAACTTGTCTGGGTTTTCCGCTTTCAACAGTTTGTCCATCATATCCCTTGCCTTTGGCATTTGGCTATCTAGCCTGACCACGATGCGTTTGGAATAAGGCTGATCGTGTTCATTTTAGTAGTGGCGGCTTAAAACATAAGGCCGCAGAAAAAGGAAACATGGTTACTTTGTACTTTGTATGGTACAACATTAAATCGTACTTATGCGGGGTAGAGGTGCGCGCACCAATCGCATTACGGAAACCGCTCGCGTTGGGGCTCTTTCTCGAGTCCCACAGCGGAGCGTAATATAAGCGAATATCCTTACCAAGAAAGACAGGGGAAACAGGAAAGACCATTTCTGCCTTGTTGGAGTCAGTCATACCCAACCCCAAGTGTGAATCACTTGAGATTCGAACCTGGGATCTTTGGTCATGGAGTTTGAAGTAAATGAGATGGGGCTCAAAAAGAGAAGCTGGAATTTGATGATTTCACCGGTGGGGACGTCGTAAGAACAAAAGTTTTCATAAGATGACATGCCACGAGGCCAGTTGATGCCTAAAATAATAAAACAACCTTTGTGTTAACAGGTTGATTACCACGGTTAGCATCGGGCATAAAGTAAGTTTTCAATTTCGGCTAAATCTGTTTATTAAAACTCTTGCGGTTAAATTACTTTCCTTTCAATGAAAAAGTCGCTCATATGCGTAACTGGAGTCTAGAACATGCAGTAGCATAGGACAGCGCCCGAATACATTCCGACATCCATTTTCGCAAAATTTACTGATATTTTACTCGATACAATTATGCAAACACAATTTCTGCACAAAAAGGACATTTTATCGAAGGAAATGGATGAGCGAACAAAATGCTTAACGTTGAAGGCGTCCAGAAATTCTCTCATCAGTTTCCGTTATCAGATTTCATGAGATAGGTCACGTACTGTAGGTCAGAATCAAAGAAGGATTTGGGATAGTTCCAATCCCAAGCCAAACCATAGCATAATCAACCTTTTCTTGCATTAAAGTGCGTCTGAAGTCGTTTAAACACATATGGAAGAGAGCATCAAGTTGATGTGACTGACAAACCGACCAGCTTATCACTTGCGTAGCCTGTACACCCAAAGGATGGTATTAGCTAGTTGATTAAGAAACGTGGCGTCTAGGAAATCGCCTGCAATGCCCTCGATACAGCACATTGTCGCCAGACTGTCATGGCTGCCTCCCCGCACATACAGTGCGTGACCGATCTCTTGAAATGTTGGCCGAAATTCTGAAATGTGTTTGCGATTAGGAAGGATTACTTAGGTGGGTTTGTAATATTGATTAGCACGCAGCATAATCCTATAGCATTTCGGACTTGCCAGGATGTCAGCTTTTGAATGCACTCCTTTTTGACCTACAGAATCCGCGATCTGCAAAAAATGGCTAATTAAGTAGGATGCATTTTTCGTATTGATTTTCGATGGTCTTGCAAATTCAAATATATTTTATAGAAAACGTGCCCAAATATGCTTTCTTTCACTGGTTTGGTAGACAATCTTGTCGTTTTTATATTTTATACCGGAAGAAAGTGTACATTTGGGTTTTAAACAAGTTTCGCAATTCCCGAACAATTTTGAGCCAGATCTACCATTGCATTAGCGTTTAGCGATTTCATTTACAATGTGCATGCTTTCCGTGTAAGGAAAATCATATAGTTCTCTATGCCTTTAAGAAGATACCACATAGAGTTCATAAAATTTTGCAATGGATCCGGACTGTGTTGTACATTTCATGAGAAGCCTTGATAAACGGACATGTACGATGTTGTATATATGGACATCGCACGGTCTTGAAAATCTCATAATTAGAAACTTTATTAAATACGAAATATATTCTTTCTTCGAGTATAAAATTTGAAGACAATGCGATTTTCTAACGAAGGAGTAAAAGAAAGCATATTTTGTGAACTTTTTATATAAAATATATTTGAATTTGTAAGACCATCGAAAATCATTACGAAAAATTCATGCTACTTATGTTGTCATTTTTTGCAGATCGTGGTTTCTGCAGAAGGTCAGAAGGGAGTGCATCCAAAAGCCGATATCCCATTGAGTCCGAAATGCTATGGTATTTTTCTGCATGCCAATCAATATTACAACTCCATCTAAGTAATCCTTCCTAATCGAAAACACATTTCAGAATTTCGGCCAACATTTCATGAGATCGGTCACGCACTGCATGCGACCCCCGAGGCTTGAACTGTCGACCTGCTGGTTAGAAGTCCAACATCCTGACCACTGAGCCACGGGTCGGTTGTCCTGTCTATCACGATCGGTTATGACAGACTAATTAAATGACAGATCTGGCTCAAAATTATTCGGGAATTGGAAAACTTGTTTAAGACCCAAATATACACTTTCTTCAGGTATAAAATATGAAGACAACGTGGTTTTTTTGCCGAACGAGTAAAAGAAAGCATATTTTGTGAATGTTTTCTATAAAATGTATTTGAATTTGCAAGACCATAGAAAATCAATACGAAAAATGCATGCTACTTAAGTAGTGATTGTTTGCTGACCGCAGTTTCTGCAAAAGGTCAGAAAGGAATGCATCCAAGAGCTGACATTCTGGCAAGTCCGAAATGCTATAGGATTTTGCTGCATGCTAATCAATATTACAGCCCCACCAAAGTAATTGCTTCCTAATCGAAAACACATTTCAGAATTTCGGCCGACATTTCATGAGATCGGCCACGCACTGCATGCGACCCCCGAGGCTCGAACTGTCGACCTGCTGGTTAGCCACGGGCCCGTTGTCCTGTCTATCACGATCGAGTATGGCAGGCTGACGGCCTCTAATAAGCCAAAAACTGCCAGTCTCCCTTATCTTTGCCGATGATGATATTCTGCCTATGGTGTACGCTTCCGTGTAGCTGCTGGCGTGGCTCAAAAGAACACCAAGGCACAGCGGGACGGGCGAGTCCCGTAACGCGATCAGTGCGCGCCCCTCTACCATGGTTACTATACCCGATCACAACTGACTTGACACTGATCCCGTGGCTTAGTCATCAGGTATTTGGACTTCTAACCGACGAGTCGCGAGTTTGAGCCTCTGAGGTTGCATACTCCAGGTTTGACTAGCGGACGACAGGTAAAAAGCCAGAATTCGCCATTCCTGTCTCCATTGCCTTTGTCGGCAAGGTTCACTACCTGCTTAATTCAGGGTTTATTAGCAAATGCGCTCTTCAGAAATGTACGCGCTACTACGCGGGACTACATACGCCGAGGCTAGTTCTGCTGGTACGGCTCTCATAGACATGAGGAACAGCATTCAACAACGACTT